GTCAAAGAATAGTAAGTTTTGTCTGCCACGATCTGTTTTTGACAAACCCATGTTGGCTTCTAGTAATACCTTTGTTTGTTTCTGGGCTGTTTTATTATCAATGGTTTTATTATCTTGTCCAGGATCTTCCCAAGTATTGATCTCAGGATGATTGGCTTGTAGTTTCCTGGTTCCATAGTTTTCCTTTTTTTGTAGGATTTTACAAAATGTACAAAATATTTCACGAAGAAGTCAGGATCAAGTAGCCATGATGGGAGGGAGTTTATAAGTGCAAAATCAGAAGAAGGAAAAAAAGGGAATCGGCAGCAGCTTTGCATCTCACTTCAGCACCCCCCAACTCATGGGTGGCTTGTGCCTGATCCCCAGGACCACCCTCACCCCCGAGGCACCTCCACAACCATTGCCTAGGCCAGTGGTGGTGAACCTATGGCATGGGTGGCACTCAGAGCCCTCTCTGTGGGTACGCACACCATCACTCAGAGCCCTCTCTGTGGGTACGCACACCATCACCCCAGCCCCGCCACCCCCCATGGCCCCCTCACTCAGAGGTGGCACTCAGAGCCCTCTCTGTGGGTACGCACACCATCACCCCAGCCCCGTCACCCCCCATGGCCCCCTCACCAGCAGCCCCCTGGAGGAGAATCACCCCGGGTGCAGCCTGCGTAGAGCAGCGCAGCCAAGGACATGGCAGCCGGGCAGCAGCGACAAGACTCTGCCCTCGCGCCCCATCACGTACAGATGATGCTGTGGGGTACGGAAAGAGGGCGTGGCCGCCATGACGCTGCTGGGTTGCCTGGGTGATTTGCTGTGATGGGCCGTGGAGGTGGTAGGTGGCCCTGCGGGGCAGGAGCGAGGCGGTTTTTGGGCACTCGGTCTCTAAAATGTTCGTCATCACTGGCCTAGGCCTCCCTCCACTTAGGGACCCTCAAGGTTAGTTAATGATTGCAACCAGAGTGTGGGATTGCGGTTGTGGATCGAAGTGGTCACGTGACCCCCTCGCCTAATGACTGTTTCACTGAACAACCGAAATTCCAGTCCCAACTGTAGTCATAAGTTGAGGACATCCCTCCTAGAGATGCGGGGGCTCCATCATTGAAGATTTTGTCTCGGGGGGAGGGGAATTGAGGACCCTACCCTGGGCAGAGGGTGGGACTGGAAGACCTTCACGGTCCCTTCCGAGGCTAAGATGTGATTTCTCAAACGGAAATATCATTCCCCATTTCTTTTTCTTTCTAACACCAGATAAAAGATTGTGACCAAAGATTTACCTGCGAGCCAACTATCAGCAGACAGTAGAAATTCAGCCCAAGGCAGCCAGTGCCAGAAAGGATGGAGCCTGGGAAACTCTTGGATCCCCCGTCAGACACAAGCAGCACTCCGGAAAACCATGAAAGAACCCATGAATGCGCAGAGTGTGGGAAATCCTTTGCTCGCAGGTCCCTTCTTTTGACCCACAGGAAGATCCATATGGGAAGTGGATCCAGTCAAGGTTTGGAGTGTGAGAAATCCTTCTCTGGAAAACAGATGAAAGATCTCAGAAGCCCCCTTAGACTAAAACCTCATAAATGTGAGGAATGTGACTTATGCTTTGGTCAAAAGTCACACCTTGTTACACATCAGAAAATCCACACTGGAGAGAAACCTTATCAGTGTCTGGAATGTGGGAAATTTTTCCGTCAAAAAGGCCATCTGGGAAACCATGAGAGAATTCACACAGGGGAGAAACCTTACACATGTTGGGAATGTGGGAGGAGCTTTTCTCGGCGTTCATATCTTTGGATCCATGAGAAGGCTCATGCAGGAATAAAACCTTACAAATGCTTTGAGTGTGGCAAATGTTTCACTCAGGGTTCAACTCTTCGGACTCATGCGAAAACACACAGAGGGGAGAAAAATGAAAAGTGCCTCGAATGCGGGAAATGTTTTTCCAGAAAATCATATCTGGTAGAACACCAGAGACTTCACACCGGAGAGAGACCCCATAAATGCCCAGAATGTGAGAAACGATTTATGTATTCTTCTGAACTTCGGACGCACCAGAAGAGGCACAAAGGAGAGAAACCCTATCAATGTGGGGAGTGTGGGAAAAATTTTCTTACACGAAGTGAGTGTCAGAGTCATGAGAGAGTCCACACAGGGGAGAAGCCGTACAAGTGTGAGGAGTGTGGGAAGTGCTTTACCAAAAAAGAAAACCTTGGAATCCATGAGATACTCCACACAGGAGAGAAGCCGTACAAGTGCATAGAATGTGGAAAATGTTTTGCTCTAAAGGCATACCTTTGGAGACATCATAAAACCCACGCAGGGGAGAAGCCATATCAATGCATTGAATGTGGAAGATTTTATTCTAGCACATCAGCCCTTAGAAGTCATGTGAAAATTCACACGGGGGAAAAAAACTACAAATGTTTAGACTGTGGGAGAGCATTTGCTCGGTCATGTCACCTTACAAGTCACAGCCGAATCCATACTGGAGAGAAACCATAAATGCTCAGAGTGTGATAAATGTTTTTCTCGGAAAGATACTCTTGTGTTACATCAGCAAATCCACACCGGAGAGAAACCTTACAAGTGGAGTGTGGGAAATGTTTTGCCCAACCTTCAGCACTTCGCATGCACATCAGAAGTCACACAGGAGAGCGGTCTTACAAGTGTGTAGAGAAAACTTTTCACTGTAAATCACAACTAAAAATGCATCAGAAAGTCCATAGCAGAGATAAACCTCTTCAGTTGTGAACAATGTGGGAAAAACATTTTTTCAAAAGTCACACCTTACAATTTACCTGGAATTTTACACAGTGGGAGAGGCGAAAACCTACAATTGTTTGGCGTGGGGAAAATGTTTTTCCTAGTCAAGTAACCTCAAATCCCATCAGTGTACACCATGAGGGACAAGGCCGTAAATGTTGGGAGTGTGAGGTTCACAAAGTGGCATTAGTATATTTCCAGAGTAATTACACAAAAAAGTCATAAGTGTATGGGGAGAATATGTAATGTTTTGCAGAGTATAGGTCAGGGGTAGGCAACCTTGGCTCTTTTATGACTCGTGGACTTCAACTCCCAGAATTCCTGAGCCAGCATGGCTCAGCTTGGAAACCTCTCCCTTTCCCCTCAGCATGGCTGGCTCAGGAATTCTGGGAGTTGAAGTCCACGAGTCATAAAAGAGCCAAGGTTGCCTACCCCTGGTATAGGTAGTCCTCAACTTAGACCACAACTGGGAATGGATTTCCGGTCATAAATTGCTACAGTCATAAGTCAAGGCATCCAGATGTTTTTGTTAATTCTTATTAGGCCTTTGTTGATCAATAAGGAGAACTAAAGGTTTCGAGATGAGAAAAGGAGGGAGGGGTGGAACAAATGTGCATCTGATTGTTTTATTTATTTAGTGATAAAAGTGTTGATGTTGAATATATGCTGGCTGAGAATGAAAAGGGAAAATTTTCTTACTATCTTTTTTGGAGGGATTTTTTTTCCACATTGTCTTTTTCATATGTACAGTACATGCATGCACATACAGTATATTCAGTATATAAGTGTGCAAAGTGTGCAAAAGCTTTTCATTGCAAATCACAGCTAAAAATACATAGGAAATTCCATAGTAGAGATAAATCTCTTCAGTCATGCACAAGGTGGGAAACATTTTGTTCAAAAGCACACCTTCAGGACACAGTCACAGAGGGGAAACCGTACAATTGTTTGGTGTGGGGAAAATGTTTTTCCTAGTCAAGTAACCTCAAATCCCACCACAGAGTACACAATGAGGCAACAGGGCATCAAGTATTGGGATTGCAAGAAGGCTTGGCTCACAAAGCAGCAGCACTAATAACTTGCCAGAATAATTACACAAGAGAAAAGAGTTACAAGTGTTGGGGAGTGTAGATTATGTTTTGCAGAGCGCAGTTAGTCCTCAGCTTATGACTGCAATTAGGAACAGATTCCCAGTCATAGATTTACAAAGTCATCCCTTGTGGTACCCATGTGACAGGATCTGATTTTATGACATCCTTGAGGTCAGAAAGCAGTCCTAAGTAGAAAGACATTCTTCCAAATTTGCATTTTCTGCAACAACAGCAAAAATAAATATTGCAAATTGTGATCCGATGGCTGCAAGATTATGGAACTGGTGGTAAAAGCCAGCCGGTTGCCAAGTGCTCATAATTGGTCAGATAACCTGGGTGGGTGGAGGGGAAACATTTTACAGTGGTGTGGAAAAGGTGTTCCTTGAAATGAGACAATTGTTGTCATACATTTGTGAGTCCCCACAAATGTAGCATGGAAAATGTTTGATCCTGAAATCTTTTCAAAAAACCCAAAGCAATTCATAATTGTGGCAAAGCGAAGTGAGAAGAAAGTTCCCTGGCCTGGGTGTTATTTAAAAAAAATTGTGATCTTGAGGGGGGAAATAGCCTCCAGATGCCACTTAAGCCTTAGGGCAGTGGTTCTCAACCTTTTTAATGCCGCAACCCCAACCGGTCGTAAGTCGAGGACTAAACCGGTCGTAAGTCGAGGACTAAACTGGTCGTAAGTCGAGGACTACCCAACCGGTCATAAGTCGAGGACTTTCCCTGCCTGGGAGCGCCGCGCATGCGTGGTTCCGCCCCCTACACCGGCCGAGGCGTAGCTGGCAAGCGGCAGAGACGGAGCAGGCCGACCACCAGCTGGCCCAGCCCAAGGGAGGTAAGGCACCCGCCAGAAAAGGGGGAAAAAAATGGACAAAAAAATGGCGGACAGCCTTGCTTGGCGACCCCCATGAAATCGTCGATCGACCCCAAATGGGGTCCCGACCCACAGGTTGAGAACCACTGCCTTAGGGTCTCTTTTACCCCCTTATCCACCCTCGGCCCTCTCGTATTCCCAATGGAAGAGATCCGGGTCACCAGCTCTGAACTGGGACAGGAAATCTTTTAGGATTGTAAAGAAAAACTTTTAAGCTTTCATGCAAGTTTGAACCGTATGGAAAGTCCGTAACCTTTTGGCCTGGGATTTTATTTTAAAAATTTTCAGGCCACTGTGCAGCCTTAATAAAAGCATTTCCACTATCCTACAGCCTGTTGTTAATGTCTCCGGAGTGCACTTTTCTTGCATTGTTCACCAAAGTGGTGAATAATGCTAAGGGAGGGCTTAGCTCACTTCCTGGGCTGAAAGGGAATCATAGTTTAAGGTCGCCCTCTGACTCTGGGGCAGCGAAGTCCCAAAGCATCATGGCAGCTCCCGGTCTCTCCCTCCTGCCCCCCCCTTCGACGCCCCCCTCCTGGGAAGTCGGAACCGAAATATTTTGCAGCTATGCTTGCTTTTTAAGAGAAATGGGATGAAATGCTTTGTGCAGAGGCTTTTCTGAGACTGGAAAAAGAAGGAATTCCAGAAGGAAGGTGAAATTCTGGCTTGAGTTATGAGGAAAAGAGAGGAAGGACATGTTGACTGAAGAGACTTGGAAATTATGTTTGCAACCTTGCATGGAGGAGATTATGTGGCAACCTTGCATGGAGGAGAAATCCCCTCCCCCCAAAAATCGGGGGGATCTACAGGGTAGGCCACCTTGTCTCTCTTTTATGACTCGTGGACTTCAACTCCCAGAATTCCTGAGCCAGCCATGCTGAGGGGACAGGGAGAGGTTTCCAAGCTGAGCCATGCTGGCTCAGGAATTCTGGGAGTTGAAGTCCACGAGTCATAAAAGAGCCAAGGTTGCCTACCCCTGGTCCATAGTATCTTCAGCAGCCACGGATGGATTAACTGATTGATTTAATTCAGGGGTCTTCAAACTTGGCTCTTTTATGACTTGTGGACTTCAACTCCCAGAATTCCTGAGCCAGCCATGCTGAGGGGAAAGGGAGAGGCTTCCAAGCTGAGCCATGCTGGCTCAGGAATTCTGGGAGTTGAAGTCCACGAGTCATAAAAGAGCCAAGGTGGCCTACTCCACATTAGGAAATGCATGGGGGGGGCAGGTAAAGGAGTTGGGGGCTCCTGGCAGATTCTGCTTCAGTTTCCCCCCCCCATCCCTAGAGATCCCCAGGAAAGGGGCTCTGGGCCAGCCCCTCCCCCTCCATCCTCTGTCAGGCTCCACAAACATTTAGCAGTGGAAGGGCCCTCCACATGGGAATGGAGGGGGGGGCATCAGGGTTTCCTGTCACTTTTCTGACTTCTTCCTTCCAGTGATTCATCGGAAAGCCGCCTCCATCTGCGCTTTCGGGAGCATCTGCCCAGCTGCACTTCCAGGATCTTTGGATCCACTTGAGGCTTCTTCCCGGCTCTTCCCACTGGCACTCCCCCAACCTCGGCTGCAGGGAAGACTCCGCCCGGCTTGGTTATAAGTGTGGGAAATGGTTATATAAGTTTTTTCCATGCCGTTGTGACTTCAAATGGTCCCTAAACAAATGGTTGTAGGCCGAGGACCACCTGCATCCTGATTGTCGGAAGCGTTTCACGCAGAGCCCAAATTTCCTGAGACACTGGAATATCCACACGCAGCCATTTCCAAATCACGTCCGTTGAGATTTCCAGGAAATCTAGAAAAAGGGGGGAAAGAGGAACCTGACTGCAGAGGAATTTCACACAAAGGGGAGATATTTCCAATAGGCAGCTTGGTGCAGTGGTTAGGGTTAGCTTAGCTAGGCTAGGGGCAGAGGGCCTAGTGCAGGAGTAGACAACCTTGGCTCTTTTATGACTCGTGGACTTCAACTCCCAGAATTCCTGAGCCAGCCTGGCTCAGCTTGGAAACCTCTCCCTTTCCCCTCAGCATGGCTGGCTCAGGAATTCTGGGAGTTGAAGTCCACGAGTCATAAAAGAGCCAAGATTGCCTACCCCTGGCCTAGTGCAAGGGCAAAGCAGCCAGGGGGACTGACCGCCTTCTCTGGGGCTTCCCCACTGCCTTCGGGAGGTCAGCAGGGAAGGTCACAAACGGTGATCACACCTCAGTGCGGCTCTTTGTAATGCGGTAATTGCAAACCAGGCATGTAGCGCAAGTGGGGCTGTAATGCCTGCAACTTCTAGGATCAGCCATACGTCCATTTTTTTTTCAGAACCGTCCAAATTCTGAGCGGTTGATGGATGGACGTAAACTGAGGACTACTCGTACTTTTATCTAAACACTGCAGGGCATGTGGATGAGATTTGGGGCCCAAATGTAACAATATTTATCTTAAAAGTATATAATGTGGAGCAGGAGGGTCAAACTGCCGGCCCACGGGCTGAATGTGTCATGCCGAAACCGCGGCCATCCCATTGCTGGCAATGGAAAAGAAGTCGCAATACGTCACGTGACGTTGCGAGTTTGACACTCCCGATGTAGAGTAGCGAGTTCATCTTGCCCATTACGGTCGCTCAGTTTTAATTATGCTTGTGACTGTGAGGATAAACTATTGGAGGGAGGGGGATGCAATCTCATAAAGGCCAAGGTATTTAAATATATAAAAAACCAGCAGGGCAGTGGAATTTTGCACGTTTTTGTGGAAGGTTCCAGAAGTGAGAGGTCACCACCAAGAAGGCCCTGCATGGTTGATTGTTTCTTTAGAACAGAGTTTTTCTCAAACTTGGGAATTTTAAGATGCGTGGATTCTTAACTAGATGATTTGAACATCTCGTTCAATACTTACATTCCATGGATATTTGTAAATAACATTTGTTGAACTTTCACTTTCCTCCTTTCTTCCAATACCTTCTGAGCTTTGTCCAAGGAGATCCAGAAAAGCACGATATTCAGTTCTCTGCCCCTACATTCTGTACCACAAAACAGACCCCACACCCAGGATCAACTTATGCTTATGAGATCAACTCCGGTCAGCCCCAACCTACTCCTAAGAATTGTCCCAAAGGTGCTTTTTCAGGAGGCAACTGGACATTCTTGTTTTTTGTTTTTTTTGAAGATGTTTCACTTTTCATCCGAGAAGCTTCTTCAGCTCTTGACTGGATGGTGGGGAAGGGAAGGATTTATACTCCTTGCAGACAGCCGGTCATTTGCATTCTTTTAGAGAGTCGTTGAGGCCACTTGGAGGTTTATCTGTGTCTTCAGGGTCACCTGAGTAGGGCAAATGGGTGTGACTGCAGGATGTTTTTCTGCCCCGTGTCCCTTCATGGTGGAAGACAGGCGCAGGCTGTTGGGCATGAGTCTGCGTTGCCTGCATCTCTACACACTGCATCTCACTTATTGTTTACACTACTCAGGTGACTCTGAGGATACAGATAAACCTCCAAATGGCTTCAACGATTCTCTAAAAGAAGGCAAATGACCAGCTGTCTGCAAGGAGTATAAATCCTTCCGTTCCCCACCATCCAGGCAGAGCTGAAGAAGCTTCTCGGATGAGAAGCGAAATGTCTTCAAAAAAACCCGAGAAAGTCCAATTGCCTCCTGGGATAACCGTGACCTAGATCAGTGATGGCGAACTTTTTAGAGACCGAGTGCCCCAAAACCGCCCTCCCACCGTCGTCCCCGCTCTGCCCTGCCCACTGGGCCACCCACCACCTCCACGGCCCGCTACAGATCACCTAGGCAGCCCAGCAGCGCCATGGCGGCCACGCCCTCCATCCTTGCCCCACAGCATCATCTGCGCACGACGGGGCGCAAGGGCGGAGTCTTGTCCCTGCTGCCCGGCTACCATGTCCTTGACTACGCTGCTTCGTGTGGGCTGCGCCCAGGGGTGACTCTCCTCTGGGGGGGGGCCTGCTGGTGAGGAGTGGGTCATGGGAGGAGGCGGGGTTGGGGCGACGGTGCGTATGCCCACACAGAGGGCTCTGAGTGCCACCTCTGGCACGCGTGCTATAGGTTCGCCACCACTGATCTAGATGATTTCCACAGACACCCTAAGAAAATTGTATTAGGCATACACAGCACCCTTCAGGAGATCCTGCAAGGACGGAGAGGGCAATTGTGTGATCACACAACCCCGTGTCTCCTCTCACAGCCCCCACTGCTTCCTGTAGGGAAGAAGAAGAAGAGACTAGCCAACTGCAGACCATCTACCGAAAGCGTATTTATTGCGAGAAATAAGTGCTAATGATCTGATCCCGGACTTCCGCGCCTTGAGGGTCTTGCTCCACCATGTTGTCGGTCTCCAGGTACGGAGGCACGGGGACCTCAGTGTCCACCCCTTGTCCTCCATTGAGGATAGGCAGCTGGCGCCTCAGGGCCATGTTGTGAAGCATGGCGCAGACGACAAAAACCTTCGCCACCTTCTCCGGGCGGAGCATCAAGCGCCCCCCGGTGGAGTGAAGGCAGCGGAACCGCATCTTGAGCTGGCCGAAGGCCGTCTCCACCACCATCCGCGTCGTCTTGTGGGTGGCGTTGTAGCGCGCCACGGGCTCGGGGCCGTCGTCGGGGTGCGGGGTCATGAGGAAAGGGCGCAAAGGGTACCCAGAGTCGCCTGTGGAAGAGAGGGAGCAAGTGTCAGCAGGCAAGAGTTCAGGCAGTCCTCGAGTTAGGACAGTTTGTTTAGTCACCATTTGACGTTTCACAGACTTATGACCATTTTTCACACTTATGACCACTGTGGCATTTCCCCCGTGGTCACGTGATCAAAATTCGGCCACTTGGCAACTGACTCGTATTTATGACGGTCGGAATGCCCTGGGGTCACGCAATCCCCTTTTGCGACCTTCCGACGAGCCAAGCCCATGGGGAAGCCCAGATTCACTTAACAACCGTGTTACTAACTTAACAACCGCAGGGATTCACTTGAACAACGGTGGCAAGACAGGTTGAAAAATGGGGCATAGCTCACTTAGCCGCTGTCTTGCTTACTAACAGGAATGCGGTGGTCATAAGTCAAGCCGTCAGCCGTCGTTGCGTCATCCCTACGGTCATGTGACCAGAATTCAGGTGCTTGGCAACTGACTCGCATTTATGACGGTTGCAGTGTTCCCGGGATCACGCGATCCCCTTTTGACCAGCCAAGTCCATGGGGAAGCCCAGATTCACTTAACCCTGTGACTAATTTAACAATTGCAGGGTTCACTTTATGAACGGTGGCAAGACAGGTCGAAAAATGGGGCAAAGCTCACTTAACAACTGCCTCACTTAGCAAGAGCGGTTTGGGGGCTCAATTGTGGTCTTAAGTTGAGGACCACTTGCATTAAAAGTTAGAGCACACTTGGCTTTACAATGTCTATTTTGGCAAGTGCGTGAGCAGTGGTGGCGAACCTGTGGCATAGGTGCCAGAGGCGGCACTCGGAGCCCTCTCTGTGGGCACACGTGCCGTTGACCCAGCCTTGTCTCTCCACCGTGACCCCCTCCTCTCCAGCAGCCCCCTGAAGGAGAGTCGCCCCCATGCATGGCCCACGCGGAGCAGCGCAGCCAAGGACATGGCAGCCAGGCAGTGTAGACAACACTCTGCCCTCACGCCCCATCGTGCACAGTTGATGCTGCGGGGCGCGGGGAGAGGGCGTGGCTGCCATGGCGCTGCTGGGCTGCCTGGGCGATCTGCGGTGGGCCCTGGAGGCACTGAGGGCAGGCGGGGTGGAGCGGAGCGGGGGCGGGGCCAGTTTTTGGGCACTCGGTCTCTAAAAGGTTCGCCATCACTGTGCGTGAGTCAAGGCCTGCTTGTCCCAAAGATGCTTTTTTCAAGAGGCAACTGGACTTTCTTGTTTTTCCTTGAAGACGTTTCGTTTCTCATCCCAGAAGCTTCTTCAGCTCTGACTGGATGGTGGGGAGATGGAAGGATTTATACTCCTTGCAGACAGCTGGTCATTTGCATTCTTTTAAGAGAGTCGTTGAGGCCACTTGGAGTTTTGCCTGTGTCCTCAGGGTCACCTGAGTGGTTCCACACCCATTTGCCCTACTCAGGTGACCCTGAGGACACAGATAAGTCTCCAAGTGGCCTCAACAATCCTCTAAAACAGTGTTTCTCAACCTTGACAATTTTAAGGCATGTGGACTTCAACTCCCAGAATTCCACAGCCAGCATTGCTGGCTGTGGAATTCTGGGAGTTGAAGTCCACATGCCTTAAAATTGTCAAGGTTGAGAAACACTGCTCTAAAAGAAGGCAAATGACTAGCTGTCTGCAAGGAGTATAAATCCTTCCATTCCCCCTACCATCCAGTCAGAGCTGAGGAAGCTTCTTGGATGAGAAGCAAAACGTCTTCAAGGAAAAACAAGAAAGTCCAGTTGCCTCTTGAAAAAGCACCTTTGGGACACCCCTGACCTGGATCTCCATAGACATTTTCAAAGAGAAGCGTCCCCTTCCTTGACACCATCCTCCTCTCTGAAAAATCCAATTGAATAGCCTAAGCCAGGACTAGGCAACCTTGGCTCTTTTATGACTCCTGGACTTCAACTCCCAGAATTCCTGAGCCAGCCATGCTGAGGGGGAAAGAGAGAGGTTTCCAAGCTGAGCCATGCTGGCTCAGGAATTCTGGGAGTTGAAGTCCACGAGTCATAAAAGAGCCAAGGTTCCCCACCCCTGGGCTAGGAAGAAGACTGCAATGTTCACAATGGCTGTGGAGAGTTGTCCCAAAGGTGCTTTTTTCAAGAGGCAACTGGACTTTCTTTGTTTTTCCTTGAAGACGTTTCGCTTCTCATCCAAGAAGCTTCTTCAGCTCTGACTGGATGGTGGGGAGATGGAAGGATTTATACTCCTTTGCAGATCACTGGACATTTGCATTGTTTTATGCTCTATTTGCAAGGAGAATAATAAAAATAAATAAATATGATGATGATGTTGGAAGGGACCTTGGAGGTCATCCAGTCCAACCCCCTGCTCAGGGAGGAAACCCTATACCATTTCAGACAAATGGCTGTGCAGTCTCTTTTTAAAAACTTCCAGTGTTGGAGTATTCACCGCTTCTGGAGGCAGGTTGTTCCACTGGTTAATTGTTCTAACTGTCAGATAGTTTCTCCTTAGTTCTAGGTTGCTTCTCTCCTTGATTAGTTTCCATCCATTGCTTCTTGTCCTGCCTTCAGGCACTTTGGAGAATAGCTTGACTCCCTCTTCCTTGGGGCAGCCCCTGAGATATTGGAACACTGCTATCATGTCTCCCCTTGTCCTTCTCTTCGTTAAACTAGACATACCCAATTCTAGCAACCGTTCTTCATATGTTTTAGCCTCCAGTCCCCTAATCATCTTTGTTGCTCTTCTCTGTACTCTTTTCTAGAGTCTCAACATCTTTTTTACATCGTGGTGACCAAAACTGGATGCAGTATTCCAAGTGTGGCCTTACCAAGGCATTGTAAAGTGGTATTAACACTTCACGTGATCTTGATTCTATCCCTCTGTTAATGCAGCCTAGCACTGTGTTGGCTTTTTTGGCAGCTGCAGCACACTGCTGGCTCATTTATTTATTTATTTATTTTATTAATTACATTTATATCCCGCCCTTCTCCTTGCGGACTCAGGGCGGCTGACAATTGGATAAAATACTAACATATTATACATATTATACCTAATTAAAATTTGATTAAATTTCTAAGTGATTGTCCACTAGGACTCCGAGGTCCCTCTCACAGTTACTACTATTGAGCAAGGTACCCCCTATGTCAACGCTGCAAATACTGTTAATCAGACACATGACACCCTATACTATACTAATCAGATACATGACACCCTATACTATACCTATACATTTGGTTTTTCTTGCCTAAATGTAGAACCTTACTTTTTTCACCATTGAATTTCATTTTGTTAGACAGCACCCAGTGTTCAAGACTGTCCAGATCCTCCTGTATCTTAAGCCTGTCTTCTGGAGTGTTGGCTATTCTGCCATCCTTCCATTCCCCACCATCCAATCAGAGCTGAAGAAGCTTCTTGGATGAGAAGCGAAACGTCTTCAAGGAAAAACAAAGAAATTTCCAGTTGCCTCCTGAAAAAGCACCTTTGGGACAACCATGACCTGGATGACTGAGAACCTCCATAGACATCTAGGGCTGCTTGTACTCTGGGGGATCCCCCCTTCCCAACCGTCCCCGCTTCAAAATGGACACCTCGCCCTTCCCCCCCCCACCAGGAGGCGCTTACCCAGAAGCCACCCCTTCCCTTCCGGCCACGACTCCAGCAGCCTTTGCAACTGGGAGAGCTGGAAGATCCGAGCGTCATGGACGCTCCCGGGGAACTTTGCCAAGACGTGGGTGAAGCAACCCGAGGCGTCGCAAGTGGCCTGCACATTGAGGCTGTGGAAGTTGTGGCAATTTCGGTACAGCGCCGGCATGTCTGCGGGGGCTATGATAGGCACATGGGTGCAGTCCACAATCCCAATGACGTTGGGGAAGCCCGCGATGTCGAAGAACGCTTCCCTGGTCCGCCGCAGCTCCGAGTCGGTGGTGGGAAAGGTGATGTGCTCGTGGACGTGGCGCAACATGGCCTCCAGGAAGGCATCCAAGCAGCGGCTGACGGAAGATTGGGACACCCGCAGGTTGTCTCCTGTCATTCTCTGGAAGGAGCCGGTGCCCAGGACCTGCAGGGCTATCAGGACCTTCTGTAACGTCGGGATGTGCCGGCGACTCGCGGAGGCCCCGTCCAGGTAGGGGGCCAGGAGAGTGCACAGATCCTGGATGGCCTGGCGGTCCAGCCGGAAGCGGGTCAGGCACTCCTCGTCGGACACCTGGAGCTCGTGGGTGCGCATCCGGATGAGGCGGGTCCGACGTGGAGGCCGTCGGCTGTGGAGCTCGAGGTTGGTGGCGTAGACCAGGTCCAGCAGGCCTTCGTCATCCGAGCTGCCCTCTTCCGGGTAGAGGGGGAGAGGAGCCCCCCTCCGGGGCTCCACCTGCCTGAGAGCTCCTGCAGGGCCACAAGCAGAGGAAGAAGAAAAAAGAGGCCGTCAGCTCATGTTATTTCTCGGATTTATATGCTGCTGTTATAGCTTTATATATATTATTCATAATATACAGCATATCTCTCTCCTATCGTCCGTCCGTCCGTCCGTCCGTCCGTCCGTCCGTCCGTCCATCCGTCTCTATCTATCTATCTATCTATCTATCTATCTATCTATCTATCTATCTATCTATCTATCTATCTATCTATCTATCTTTCTCTTTCTTTCTTTCTTTCTTTCTACTTACCTACCTACCTCTCATCTCTATCATATATCATCTCTTTCTCTGCCTACCTATGTAAGAAATGTCTGTCTGTCTGTCTGTGTCTGTCTGTCTATCATCTATCTGTCTGTCTGTCTATCTACTTATCTACCTACCTACCTGCCTTTCATCTCTATCATCTATCTCTTTCTCTATCTACCTAAGAAATATCTACCTAAGCAATATCTATCTGTCTGTCTATCTGTCTACCTACCTTCCTAATATTTATACAGTAAATAAATATAAATATGCTGTTTTGAAGGCAAAGGGTGGTCACACCAAATATTGATTTGATCTGGATTTCTCTTCTGTTCATTTCTTTCCTTTTTGTTAAAAAAGGAAATATTTAACACTTACATTTCTGAAAGCATTCTTAATTTACAGCATTTGGGCAAAACTGCCTAAAACTTTTTCACAGTACTGTATATATACACTCTACTCTATCTATTCTATTCTATTCTATTCTATTCTATTCTATTCTATTCTATTCTATTCTATTCTATTCTATTCTATTCTATTCTATTCTTATCCTATCCTATCCTACTCTACTCTACTCTATTCTGTTCTATTCGCAGTAATTGAGGCTTTGACATTCTTAAGAACCTTTCATACTGTTCCTCCACATCATACTAAGACAGTCCTCAATTTACAATCATAACTGGAACTGGAACATCCATTGCTAATTGATGCAATTCTTAAATGAACTGTGCCCAATTTTATGACCTTTTTTTTGCTGTGGTCATTAACCGAATCATCGAGGTTGAATGAATCACATGGCCGTTAAGCGAATCCAGTTTCCCCCTTCGACTGTGTTTGTCAGAAGCCCCCTGAGAAGGTCGCAACCGGCAACGACGTGACCCTGGGACACTGCAACCGTCATAAACTTTACCTGTAAGCCGCCCTGAGTCCCTCGGGAGAAGGGCGGGGTATAAATGGGATTAAATAAATAAATAAATAAATAAATAAATAAATAAACACATTCCAGTTGCCGAGTACCCAAATTTTGATCATCCGACAACGGGAACGCTGCAAAGATCGTAATTCCAATGCTGGCCGCAAGTCCACAAAAAAGAGCTACAATTCAGATTTACTCCAAGAACCAAACAAGATGGAGAAATCAAGATGGGCCATCCCATAACCAGGCGAATTGGGATGCTACCTAAATTGCTGTGTTCCTCTTCGTCAGTTTCTTGCTTGGCTTCTCTGAAAAGAGGTTCTGGCACCGCGACGGACGGAGGCTGATCAGCCTCGGCTTCTGGAGAATCCGCGTTATCCATCTCAAACAGCCCGAGCACCTGAAACAGCAAAGATCCTGTTTCAGAACAAGATCGGGAACGTACGAAGAACGGTCGCAGGAATTGGGTTTGGCTACGCTAGGGCAAGGGTAGGCAACTTTGGCTCTTTTATGACTCGTGGACTTCAACTCCCAGAATTCCTGAGCCAGCATGGCTCAGCTTGGAAACCTCTCCCTTTCCCCTCAGCATGGCTGGCTCAGGAATTCTGGGAGTTGAAGTCCACGAGTCATAAAAGAGCCAAGGTGGCCTACTCCTGTTCTAGAGAAATATTCTATTTATGGGTTATTTGATTGTTATAATTTGCATATTCCCGGTTTTGAGAGACAGAGCGGCTAAGATAAAAAAAATAAAATAACAGAGCTTAAAGTCACCAAGGCTGAGAAACACTGTTCTAATCCAAAAGCATTTCTCATCCTCGGAGATCCCTCTTAAAAAACAAAGGATTCCAAGAAAACTGCCCAGAGTGGTTGGATATGAGATGAATGGCAAATAAATTTCATAAATAATAAATAAATAAATACAGATATTGGCAAAAATAAGAGGGGAGGAAAGCCATGTTTCTCATTTCGTTTAGTCCCTTACTGTTTGTGTGTGGGGGTTTTTTGGATTCTCCAAGCTTCAACATGCTAAAAAAAGTTTTTTTTTGGAGGGAGGGAACTGGGGAAAGACAGCCTTCTTTTCCAGTTTTCCCACCATCATTTAGTCACCTAGAGGAAACCTCAGCTCACAGGCTTTAAAAATATGGAATGCAGAATAATTTATCCCTAAATCCCACCTT